TGTTTGCTCTTCTGTACGATCAGTTAGCCAAACACCGAGGACAGCTATATGGCGAGGTCTTGTTGCGCTTCTTCGTCCTTCAATTTGACCAGCGCGAATTTCGATGGGTAAATTATTTTATACTTATCTTTCGAGTATTACGATCTTTCTGGTTTTATTTTACAACTTACGTTAAATATTATTATTGCTATCTGCGTGAAAATTTGAGACCAGAATAATTCGATTTATAAGTTCCTATACGCGCTTAAACATTTTTATTGATCCATACATTTTAAAGATACACGTATCGCATTGGGCCTCAAAAAAGCGGCACGCCTAAAAAGATCTCCGGATTCCGTGATCCTGATGGCGCGCAAGGACGAGCGAAACGAGATGGGGGGAAAGGGAGAGGAGCGCGAAGGAGAGACGCGAGAAAGGGGGGGGGACGTAGCGGCGGAGCAGCGTGTGCAGGTTCGTGATTCGAAGTAGGTGGGCCCCAGGTAGCCAGGACAGATAACACCCGGAGATTACCGCGGACAGAGTCATTAGCAGCGTCGGCTTCTGTGTCGGCCAAGATATTCTCTCACTTTCCTCCCCTGCCGTCCCGCCGCTGCTACCCGCCCCTCCTCCCCGCATGTCCCACCGTCCATTCGTCCGCCGTGCGGTTTTATCTGGCCGGTCAATTCACGCGGCACGATATACACACCGGACCGCTTCAGATCCTACCACTTACTTTCCATCCTCCGACCATCTTCTATTTCGTCCTTTCTCTTTCTCCCTTCTCCCTTTCCCTTGCTCACTCTTTCTCTTTCTCCCTAGGCGCGCCTCGCGATACTAGCCCCCTCCCCTTTCCTCTCTCGCGAACCGTGTCCTCCTGCCTCCGTCTCTCCTTCTTTATCCCTCTTTCGCCGACATATTCTACGGGCAGAATGCACCGCGAAAGACGCGCATTCGCCGCGCTCGAGTGAGCGCAGATTAGAGTCCGGAGAAATACTAATTGCTCCGATCGGCGTTCGCACATATTTTCCACGGCGCCAGAGGCGTGTCGAGGCCGAAGGTCCACGAGAAACGAGATAGAGACGAGGGAGACCGCCGGGGCGTCGCGCGAGGGACCGGAAGGGGGTCCATGCAACGGTGGTAGTGGCGGTAGCGAGAGGGAAAGAGAGAAAAAGAAGAGAGAGAGAGAAACATTCTGCTTTGATAGGCTAATGACAAACGCCTAGATTGCCGGCTTATCACCCGGCCAGCGCTAATTATTTCCCCTTTGTACTGCACCGCGCATAATGGCGTCCGTGCGGGAACGAGCGAGGGCTTCCTATCTTTCTCTCTCTCTCTCTCTCTCTTTCCGCTTCACGTGTGTCGTACCGATTTACACGCACGAGCGGCGCGTCGGCGAATTTTATTTGTTACCGCGTGTGGTGACGGCAAACGTGAATTTCTCGCCGCGAATTGACGGAATGACGTTGTGCGTTGCGATCGGTCCCTTCACTTAAGCCTCCACGCACTCCAGTGATTATCGACTCTGTTCACCGACGCGGTGGACCTTTGGCCCCTACGTTCCCTTCCCTCCGCTCTCTCGCCAGACGTCTGTTGACGATTTCTGTTTTTTTCCCCTACATGTCCGACGTGTGAACCAACGCAGTTGCAAACTTTCGTCTGCATGCATAATCGACAGTTATTCCCGAATATTCCGTAATCCTCCTGTGAATTCTTCTTTTTAATTCTTCCGTCTTATCGTCGCGGAGATCAATCTAGAGATTAGGTTCAGAAGAATAACAGTCTATATTTTAATATAGACATTACGTAATATGAAACGTTAGAATGATGGTATAAAGGCTTTCTTTCTCAGGTAATTTTAATTTCAGCAGCTTTTAGTGCAAGATTTCTATTTTTTAATATTGGTTGTTGATAGATTTTCATCTAAAATATTGTTTTCATATGAATTTTTTCATTAATATATGTGAATTATTTTTTTCTAAATAAATATCTTTGAGGTTTCATTGCCTAGATGGATATGCTAGTATCTATAACGCTGTTACGATATATTGCTAAGAAATGGTTTTGAGAATTTTAAGTTAGCACTATTAAGAACTTTTCTCGGCATCTCGGAAACTTTTCCAAGGTAATTTACCTTCCTCCTCCCTCCCCGCTTTTGAAGAGTCATGATCCTTTAACCATGCCCTCCCGTTTATTGACGGCAGTTTGCGATTCGTTGAAAGACACGTTACATTCGTATCCACTTTTCAAACGTTTTCCAACCGCGAAAGTTCTCTCTCCGAGCGCACGATAATTATACGGATTTCGTGGGTGAAGCATTTGACGCATAAACAGATTTATCAACCAACACTAACGAGGAAGCGTCCGTTCGTTCGTTCGTCATCGTCGACAGAATGTTCTCGGCAATCTTGTTAGTTGCCGTTCCTGCGGCAAAGCGAGATGCTCCGAGCGATATCTGCATAAAACGATAGGAGGGGGCAGACGGCGCGGAGAAATACGCGAATCATAAAAGAACACAAGGAAAAGTGAAAACGGAGAACCGATGTCGGCCTAGTTAGTCGAAAATCGGGATCAAATATATATTTTTTTAATCGCGCTTGCTGATTATTTCCCCCTCCCCCTCTCCCGTCGAAAACCTCGCTTATTCTGTCGACACAACATTCTGTTGCGTAGAGGCAGACAATAATTTGTTAACCCATTAGATTTTGAATGTAAATATAAAATATTTTTTTAGCTTGAATGCATTTTATTGTTATAGTAGATAAAATAGTGTGGTTGTACTACATTTATTTTAATTGACAGAGTTTTTTTTATTTCGTTTTATAAATTTGTGATAATGCTTTTCAATTAATAAACGTTTTCTTTTTATAAAAAATTTGGGAAAGATTAAATTTGTATACATACTGATATATCTTCAATACTCGTATTCTATATCTCTCGTGTCATTACATAATGATTTGGCCTTCGCAGTTACATAATTACGGAATACTGCAAAAATCGTAAGGCTTCCGCGAACGATTGTCGGCATATGTCTGTCTAGGTTTCTAGACTAACCCGGTTTTAATACTTTAATGATATTGTTTCGCGATATCGGCGAAAAACTTCGGATCGAACTACCACCATGTCCCGTATCTTATTAGGAAGTTCATAAAAATAATGTAGAATACTTTATTGCGTACAATTTTAGCTTCCACACAGCTGAAATTTCTCGTAAAACTTGTTTGATGCCCTGAGGCGTCGGGCATCGATTTACGGATGCGCAAGCCACAACAATCTTGGATAATAAATGTTTCCTTTGACGAACGCGCGAAGATTCTTTTTCGGTTTAGCAATTTTAGCAGAAATACCTGCGATCTCTGCGCGCGGTGGCGGCCGGTGTGAACCGGTTTTGACGCCACGTTGAAATTAATCTCGCCTCTTCGCTCCGTACGAGTGTAGCCGCGATATACGGGTGATAAGCGCGCGGTACGTTTTATTTGGCGAAGTGGCAGCGGGACTGCGGATTCCGGATTGAATTAATAAGTGAATTCGATTACCCGGCAGAGCGAGACCGATATCCAGAATACGGCCGGCCATGTTTCGGTTGCCTATCGATCACTATGTATGCGCCGAATAACCGCCATATAAATTATGCCGATGACGATTGAGGCCAACGACGACGACGCCAGCGAAGGGTGAACGTGGCCCGTCGCGGACGCGAGAATCCATCTTTCGTGAATTCGACGGTGGAATCGAGCGATGACACACGCGGCTTCCGGCTATCGATCGTCCGCGTTCACGTCTCGCCCGGTAATTTGCTCGTTACCGCTCACGTATTAATCTCCCTCTTTCTCTCTCTCTCTCTCGCTCTCTCTCTCTCTGTTTCCCTTTACGCATGCGACGGACACGTGCGCGCGAGCTACGCGAGAGAGAGAGTTCGCCCTTTTCGTTTTGCGTGCCGGAATATTCCGAACAGCCTTTCGGATCGTACATATAATAAGAGCAGCGCGAGCACGCGGGCAAATGTGCTCCGCAACGCGAGCGAACTCGCACGTGCATATTCCGCGTCCATTTTCAACAAGATCGATGGCCGTCCGTCCGCGTAACGCAAGCTTTTTAATCGCAGGACGAGGTCAATAAATTATCGTAATCGGGAAGTTGGTTATATTTCGATAATTTGACAAATTTATATGAACAGTGGGTAATTTGACGATAGCCGCGACGATGTGTACGTGTATCGTTGTAGGCAAATACGCTATTTTATCACAACTATTTCTGTCAATTAGCGAATCAGCTAATGGTAAGTGCTAATAATAAAAGAGTTATTAGTAATGTCCCTGATAAATAATTTTTAAACGTAAATACGTATAGCCGCGAGAGATCGTCATCGTCTACGACGGATAAAATCGCGCGAGGCTCGCTCGGAAAGCTCGATTGCGTTTTGCAAGACTTTGTGTATCGATCAACTCGGCATGATGCATCGGTGTAATAGCCGCTTTGCCAAGCTCATGCCTTCTTGGCCCGCACGGAACTTTATGAAATACTTGCACGAAGATTAATTAACCGGGAGAAAGGAGTAACGTGCCGGCGCACGCTCTCTGATTGTGTGATTAACGGCAACACCTTCTTGACACTTTTTTAATCTGACGTATCTCTATATTTTTCTTCGTGCAAAATCGCGCTCTCGTGTCTCGCGTCGCTTTTGTTTCTTAATTTTGCACCGTAGATCACTTTCAGACCACGCTCGCGATGGTTAATCACGAGACTTCTGCGAGGCACCGCGACTCCTGCTAAATGGAACGTTCCGTACATTGTTCATGAGAACGAAAAAGAAATGTGCTTCACGAAATTCAAAGATATTCGAAAAAGTGTAGAGAGAAGAAACTTGATTCGCGTGTTGCATTTTCTCTTGGCTTGACTCGAAAGTTATCCGCGAAGCAAATTGGTCTGAGAGTGCGAAAACGAAGCGAAATAATTGCAAACCTTCTTTGCCAAAGCTAACATAAAACAATCTGTCCCAATGTATGATCCCTTTCTTATTGCAGACGATACTGAACTCGATGCATAAGTATCAGCCGAGGTTTCACCTCGTGCGAGCCAATGACATCCTGAAACTTCCGTATTCGACCTTCAGGAGTTACGTTTTCAAGGAGACGGAATTCATCGCCGTGACGGCCTATCAAAACGAAAAGGTAAGCGACCTTTGGTTTGTTCAAACGCACACGGAAAGAACGATTTTGCTGGAAATGTCAAATCTGAAAATAATTCTTGTTGATCCATCAAAATAATTTTGTTGGAAAATTAAACTGCTAGAATATCAAAACATTTTATAGCAATGCTTATCATTTTTAACCTTTCAGCAAAATCGTTCTTTCCGTGCACGTGTCATCCATACGCAAAAGAGATCCTTTCATCCGATTAATTTCGCAACATCCGAAAAGAACGTAGACTTGGTATTTTATGTCTATAGAGAACTTCTGTAGGAAGTTGCATCGGAAAAGCCGCAGAGTGCGGACCAAAAGTTTTTAAAAGATAATACTAACCAATTTTTTTGCTCACACTTAAATATTTTCTGATCAAATATATGTATACGTACACGATTTTGCGTTTGCTACATTAATTTGATTATTGGTTATTACTGGCCGAATCGATTCCCGGAGATTGTAAAAGGTAGAAGAAGAACTTCTGTATGAGGCCAAGATCAAATTTATTTATCTCGTTTCTGTTTATCTCGTAAAATTTATCGATGCAGAAATATGAGTGATCCTCCTTTTTATGTGTTAAAAGTTCATCGCGGAGGAAATGTAAAGGTCACACGTGGCGGCGAGAATTCGTTAGAAGGGAACAATCTCGCGTTACGATCTAAGAGAGCGGGCCGTTTTGGTTTCTGGCCTTCCGTTAATTAATATTTCTCCGCGTTCCTACGCCTTGATAAAGTCATGGACGCGAGCATCATTTCGTGGAACAACGTCTTCTCGGTACGCATTATTTTCAGTAGTGAATGAGTTGCTCACACGCACGCACGTGGCCATAAGAAGAGACCGGGCCTTGTACAGATTTTTGGTAGGTCGGTTTTATACGTCGGCTAATACACTCCTATCTTAATTATCGCGCCTTCTCGGTATATTGACCGAATACGGAGCGAAGCGAGAAGAGCATATTAGCTCGGAGAGTCTACAGGCCTGTTAAATCCTTAACGAAAGATTTAATTTGCAAACTTTTTTTTAAATCCATGCTCAAATATATTTATTTTTTTTGCAGATCACCCAGCTGAAGATCGATAACAATCCATTCGCGAAGGGATTTCGAGATACTGGTGCGGGGAAGCGCGAGAAAAAGTGAGTGTCGCTTTCAAAACTGCATTTCCAGAACGTATAGTATATTTTTTAACACTTTCCTGAAACTAAAACAAACCTACGCCACAATATACAAAAATCTTTCGCCATGTGTATATGTGTTCCCAAGAGAGTTCTTTAGTTTGTTTTATTACTGTTTCACGAGGTTTATTCATAAAAATTTACGAAAATCATATAATACCAATAATCAGGAAAGAGTTAAAAAAAAATCAGTAAACTAAGTATCCTTCGATCATTCTACGACGAAAGTACGTCTCAGGATCTACGTTAATGTAGAACGGATTAAAAACTACCCTAAATGCAAAGCAGGCATGCCCTCTCCGCATCGCGTTTTGTACGGAGCAAAGAGCGCGAATCTGTCTTCGGGGTCGACCTAATTGATCATAGACCTTTCGAGCTTCCCCTCGATCGACGCTATTATGTCGACCTTAGGGTCATCCCTTGGGCTAAGGGTTGGTTTCACAGGGCTCATTTGCACTCCGCATCGCCTACAGTGTCGTCCATTTATATTCAATATTGCGGGTTTATGAGCTTATGTCAGCGAACGATCCCTCGGAGGGGATGCTGGCCCGCGTCGTTGCCGTGGACCAGGCTGCTATGGAAACCCCATTTCGATCCCATTGGTCGTGGGGTGAAAACTCGAGTGGGTTTTGATGAAATTAAGTTGCTATGCATAACAATTTAAACTGTTTCCTATAATCCTTGTTACGTCATTAAAGAACGTAATTTCTTAAGTGAAAAAGAATATTTTGTCTGTGGTGTCAAAAGTATCAAGAAGTGCATTATACTACGCTGAGAGAAAAAAAAATGGAGACGATGCAAGCCGCGGGTCAGAAAATTTTCGGAAAATTGCGGCGGTCTGCGACGTCGAGCGGATAAAGAAAGGGCGAGGTTAATCGAGAAAATATGCAAAGCAGGGGGCGCGTCGCCGCGGCACCGCCTAATTAGAATAAGGGTTAGTTTTGGCTTATGGTTTCGGTTAAGGGTGGTTGGATGCCATCAGGAAGCCACAGGGAAACCGGAAAGCGAGAAAGAGACGGGGCACGGGCAGGGAAACATCGCGCAGAAAGAGACCGCGAGAGAAAGAGAGTGGGCACGGTGTGAGAGGGATCGGGGTTGGAACATAGCCAATCATCGGATTAGCATACTGATGCTCAGGGGCGGCGCTATCGTTAACGTGGAGGGTGCCACTCTTGACGGCTTTGAATTTTATATTGGCCCTACAGATCGTTTTGTGGCTGCACAAAGACTGCGCTTCGAGAACTCACGGTCGATCTTCCGCATGCAAACGAAAGCGCGAAATCTCTTTCCCCGATAGCATGCGTTATTTCTTTTTTATATCTTTGCTTGCGCGGATTTTTTTTGTAATACGCTAGATCGTTAATAACCGCGAGAACCGACATAAAGCAAGTAAATTAAGAGAACGAAGAAGCGAGATGCGAATGTACAGTAAATTAAGTCAATCTCATTGGAGCCTAATCACTATAATACACGATAATTTAAGGCGAGAGATCCCCTATGATTTAAGTATAGAGATGTAAAGTAGCTGCGTGACTGTACTGAAATAAAACGGCCACACTCGATACGCGATAGCGTTAAACTGACACTGACAGCCGGCGTATTGTTTCGTTAATTTTTTAACAACGCGCGACGCGGCGTTTCGTCACGAGATGTAACGCCACTCGAGCGTGACGAGTTGATTCGCCACGCCGCTTAAAAAAAAAAGGGAAAAAAGGAGAGGGGGAGAAAAAGAGAGAAGGAACCGCTCCGGTGCGGCGAGTTGTCACGTCATTTATCATCATACACACCGCGGAAAGATCGTATTGCGATACACGCGGGCGAATTAACCCGTTCGCTCGCGAAACTTCCACGATCGCGCGTTAATATACGTAATAGCGCGAACGATGTGTATTTCCTAATCGGTCCATTAGCGCATTAGGTGTTAAATTAATAGCCGTGACGCTGATCATATTGTCCCCGAGATTAATTTTCGCGATCGGCGATTATACACCACAAACGTCTTTTGATTAATGAGCGAAACAAGACGCGTCGGGAAATCTAGACGAGGCCGGCGAGTTTTACTTAACTTTTGCAGTCAATTATCCGCGGAGCGGAAATCGTTGAGATTCCAGTGCGTTTCTCCGCATTGCAACAAAGCATTCCTACGAGATATAATTACAGCCAGACTAACCCTATAGGCCATCCCCGATTTTTGTTAATCTCGCGTGTTATATCTGGGTAATATCGAAAACTAAGCTGAGGATAACATGTAACTGAGCAGTTTAAGTATTTTCATATGTTTGCGACATAGCCAATATATGAAGATACTTAAACTGCTCAGTTACATATAGCCAATATATGAATACCGGCCCTTGCCGTACAAGATCTCGCAATTTCTACTCTCGTTCATGCCAAAATGTCATTTGCCAGTCCGCTCGAAATCGCGACGATAATATATTTGCAAAGATATTTTGGTGGAATAGAAAGGTTTATCTTTCCCACGCGAAGTCGTTCGTTTGAACGACGATATGAGAGCTTTCCGAGAGCCCCGCAATTCCTCCCATAATCGCGCCAAACCGAAATGTACTCGATTCCGCAACCTAATACAGAATTAATTGGCGCACACGGATCCTTTCAGCGGGCTCGAACAAAATTTCCTGGAACGCTCCTAATCACGCAAAGGAAACTCGATGGTACGTTACCGTCGACAATCGAGTCGAATGACGGGCCGGGGTTACGGGGGCGCGGCGCGCGCGGGAAAGGCAAAGGGGGCGGGGGGAGGAGGAGTCTACGGCAAATCTAATGCATCGTCTCGTGCAGACAGAACAAACCTAAACCTCGTGTAAGTCTCGGCTATAGCCGTTCGCACAACGAGAGGCTTACCGGTGTCTTAATGCCATGTAATGCGATCAGTTCACCAACACAGAAACCGCGCGCTTTCTCTCGCTCGCTCGCTCGCTCGCCCGAGGTGCATCCACTTCGCGCACGCTCCACCTCGTAGATGCATCCGTGACATGCACTCGTTGCAGCCCCGAAAGGGTGTGCAGGCTCTCTGGTTTCCGTACGTAAGTGCGAGAGCATGCCAAATCAATAATCCGCCGTGCACCCGGTATACGACTTTCGAGCAAGGTGTACCGTCCCTCTTCGTCCTGGATTCACGAGAGACGTTCAATTTTATTCGCTCACCGAGGATCGAGTCGCTCCGATGTCGTTTAGCGCTTAGGAAAAAAAAACATAGATCGCCAATCTCTTTTTTTTCCTGCTTCTGTGCTTTAACTGGTTGCAGGAACAACCGAAAAAGAATTCATTAACGTAGATTAATCAGAAATCATTAAATCCGCGCGACGCGCTTGATTTCTCTTATATAAAAGGCCGCGTGCATAAACGCAGCTCGATAAATCGCGCCGAGATTACGCGATTCTTCGCGAAGATCGGGCGAAAGAAACACGCTGCCCTGGGGAATCGGCGAATAGATCAGTGTGTCGTGAATCGATACCGGGTATCGCCGCGGCATCGATGAAAAATGATCGCGACTCCGACTCCGGGGAGTGCAGGCGGCCAGACGTCAGCGCGATAAATCACTCTCGATTCCGCACACCTAGAGCTCGCGATTCGCGGAAAAAAGTTTCTCCGCGTCGCACCGCCGGTCGCGGAGCGCAATGTAATCGTGCCGGCGCGTATATCTTGAGGGTTCTATCGACACGCCGCCGCCGTTCGTTTATGCGAGCCGCCTGTGTACGTATTATATGTACGCACGCACACAGAGGCGCGAATTGCACCACACGAGCTCTCGCTCGTCTGTTTATAAGTGCAAATAGCCGCGAGTGGCATAAAGTTAAGCGCACGTGAAGGCAACGCACGCGCGAGCGAGCGAGTGAGCGAGCGAGCGAACGCTAGACACTTGCCGCATAGGAAAGGCGTTGAAGGCGCAATTAAGATAATTAATCTAATACCACGGCCGCGCCTCGAGGCAATACAGCTACCGGCGGCTCGCATAAATCCCGGGGCCTCCGTTTATTGCAGCGCGCCGACGCCGGCAACCGCTCCGCGTGAATTATCACCGCGGACGAGCGAAGCGCGCCGCGCGCGCGGCTCGGAGAGTGGCCGCGCTTCAAGCCGTCGGGGCCTTTTGATTTCCTTCGACACAATACCTCTCTCTGTCTCCCGGAATCGTGATCGCATTGATCGCGCCTGTTCTCCTCGCACGCGCGACGACGACCCGCAGATGCGACGCTAACGAGTATACGATATTCCATTTCGCGTTAAATATCGGCACTGTAAGATTTTCATTGATTCTCATTCAGTCGGTCGTGGCGTGATCAAGATAACGTTTACGTAAATTCCGCGTGAAGGTTTCACAAGAAATTCACACAGTGAAATTGACAAATAGACCGCCTGTTCATCTTTGATGAAACTTGCACTACACATCTATTGACCATCTTATGTTTTATATTACAAATTGAAATTATTATTTAGCGAACAATTAATATCAATATAATATATATGTATACGATCAATCTTATAAAAAATTATTCTGACTTTGTTATACTTTTTTTATACGATTGCAACAACTCTATATTTTGCAGAACAAACGTTAACGCGACTCGGTCTATTTGCAATTTCAGTTCTTCATTATGCTGAATATTGATTCGCCAAAGCAATTAGCAGCGAGGACATCCGCGAGATATTGCGATAGTGTATAGATAGAGATCGCCGATTGGTTTCTCGCAATCTTCCGGAGGATCCTTTTACCGTTCGACGTCGCAATTTTTTCGATTGAGACATACGCATATTGGTATACTAACAAAACCGCAACGAGATCGCAGCGCGAACGATTTAGCGTCGAAATTGCCGCTGCCAAGGAGGGAAGTAACTTTATCACCGACCCTCTCGTTATACTCTCGGAACCAATTATAGTGTGCCGTAATCAATGGGCATTCGCGCGTCTCAAAAGATTGTCAGCTTGCGAACGTCGATAAATCATATCGAAATAGGCGGAACCCATTTACCCGGTGGCCGCGCAGCTCCGCTAACGATTGATAACTCACTAACCACGCCTTTCCATAAATCAATAATCAATCTAGAAACACAGAGGCAACGGGTTTTCTTTAAAGCGTTGCGACAATGCCGAGCTTGCTTGTCTTATAACGTACGACTTATTTTTTCGCGGGATAAGGATCGGAACACGGTATATTTTAATTAATTTTTAATTTATGCGGTATATAAAAAAGATTTCACGGGGGAGGGGGCGGGGGGTAGGAAATAATTAAGAGCGCAAAATAAGCGTGGCACGCGAACCTCGCAAGATTGCTAACTCTGCGTCGTTGTTGCAGAAGGCAGGCGCTACTGACAGTATCGGGCGGCGGTTCCCGTTTGACAGCGGGCGGACCAGCGTCGCCGGACAAGCGGCGCTCATCGAACTCCGCCACCGATCTTATGGACGACGACGACAAACTGCTGGACGTGGTTGGACCCGATACGCCGCATCCGGCCCATCACCACCGGGAACGGGAGCACTCGCGCGAGAGGGACGACCGGACGAGCGAACGAGGCGAGGGCAGCGAATCGTCCGGGTCGGAGAGCGGCGGCGGGCCAGGCCCAACGGGGTCCGAAGGTCCACGGCCGGACGTCTCTGTCGGTCCACCGCTTCACCCGCCCCTCTTGCCGTATCTGTACCCGCCGGTGCCCGGACTCTATCCCGGCCCCGGTCCCCTGATACCACCGAGTCCTCTCGGACTCCACGGTGGGGTCACGCCCGGTATGCTGTTTAACGCCCAGCTGGCCTTGGCGGCCCAGCATCCGCTCTTCGCGCACTATCCCCATCCCCTGGCGAGTCCCCTGCATCAGCTCAAGGGGCATAGATTCGCGCCCTACACACTCCCGGCGCCCTCGCACGGCTCGGCCTTCGAGACCGTGACCCCCGGTAGCAGGACTCTAAGTCCGAGATCGCCGCCGCCGAGGCCGCCAACCGATTCGCCGACCCCCACGGGCGGCGGTGCCCTCATCTCGACGACGCCCAGCTCCGCCGGCGAGCTCAAGTCCATCGAGAACATGGTGAACGGGCTGCAGGAGAAGAGAAGGAGAAGTCCGAGTCTGACGCCCGGACATCGGGGCGACGACGCCGGCGGAGGGAGTCCGTGACAGGAGAACGAGCCTGTGAGCAGCACGAAGGACGATGACCCTGACGAGGACGAGGACGAGGACTGCGCCGACGAATCTGGCGGCGACCCGGAGGACCTCTCCGCCGACGAGAGGGAGCCGGACTCCACGTCGGAGCCGTCGTAGCGGCGGGAACGTTGGCTGGTCGGCATTCGGTTCTCCCTGTCTCGTCCTCGTCCTACTCGGGGGGTCCTGGCCGTACCGGACGGGAGCGAGGAAGGCCGGACTCTCATACTACAAAGTGCAATTTTATTTCCGGAGCGGCGCCGCGGCTCGAGAAGTCGTTGTCGCGAGCGGCAGCGGCGCCCTTCGTGCTTTCGGGACGGAACAAGGAGTCCCCCGCGTGTTTCCTGTATCTGTAAATAGACCTACGCGGTTCGCGCGAGAGCACGATATCGCGCGCGTTAGGAGTGTGCGTCTCTGTTAGGACCGCGAGGCGGGGTGCGTTGGACTCTCGACGGATGCTGCGCCAATCACGCGTTGATGTAAATTAGAGTTGACGAGACGCGAGAGTGAATGCGATAAGAGGAAAATGAATGCGAGAGAGGGAGAGAAAGAGTGAGAGAGAGAGAGAAAAATAAAGGGGAAAGAGTCTACGAGCGCGTACCTGTGTCCCGTATGTGAGTCTACGTTCTACCTGTACGTTAGGTCTTAAAGGAACAAAACAGAGAACGACATTGCAATATAAGAGCACCTCCTACTATTTGCAGTCCCTGTACATATGTACCCTAGTGATATTATATATATATATTATATATATATAAATATTATATTATATTATATTATAAATATAAATAACATCTACTCTCTCTGTACTAATTATTAAATATATTATTATATTATAACAATTAGAGAGACGTAAACGTATAAACGCACGCTGCCCGATTTATGCCTCGAAAACGCAAAGAAAGAAAAAAGCGCAAGGAATCCCAACGAAGAATCTCGGGGCCCGAGTCGACGATCCATAGAGGAAGCAGCGCGACGTGGCGTAAACCGCGGATTGAGTTCGCCGTGGAGCAGTGTCGCTCTCGAATCCTTCATTCTCGAAATTCCACGTCGCCCGGAGGACTCGCGTCCTTTGACCGTGCGTCGAAGGTAAAGCCGTCGATCGAAACAATGCGGTGGGCGACCAGCTTTACGTTTGTTTATTCGGACGTCACTATCGACGAATCGCGCGTATTTTCTTTTTTTTTCTTTATTTTAGTTCTTTTACAGACCTTTTCAATTTCTTTTACAAGGATGAAAACTGATTGAAGTACGTCGGGTTTGTGATCGTCGCACAAGGTCTTTCTATTTCATAATAATATAGAGAAACGACTTGTCAAAAATGATATTTTACTTTCATGTCAAACGCTATAAGTTGAATTTATTTCTTTAACATTTCTTTTTAATTTGAAAAATGAGGCAAATCGAGATTTTATTTTACAATAATTGCTCAAGACTCGAATTGCCGAATTTTAGCGAGTAATCGGAATTTCACCGCGTCGACTAAAAATCCGAGCCGACCTGCAATTTGTATAAATAATGGCGATCGGTGTAAATAATTATTAAACGTCTAACAAGAACGAGCAAATTCGCAATCAACTCGCGCGAGTCACTTTTAGGGGGCAGAGGGATTCGCTATCGCGAATGCTGCACGTACGTGTAACACAATAGAAGCGGTCTAAAGAGAAAAACCTGACGTCCGGGATGGGAGATAACGGTGATTTAAGGCGAAATCGCGCGATGTCCGCGGGAGAACGTAGCGCGGTGATGTTTTTTTTTTTTTTTTAAGGGAACCTCCGAGAATGGGATTCTCCCGTGATGTCCGAGAATGGGAGGCCGTTATCGTTTGCACGCACTGCGACAATGCGAATGCGCCGCACGTCCGCACGTTGCACGGTCGCAACGACAATCGGAAGATCGTCTCGATACCCCAGGCGCAATGCACCGTTGGCGTTTTAAACGTCGATCATCGACGTTGTGCAATCGACGATCGGCTTCTCATTCTAAGCCATTTTGTCGTAATTCGACTAATCGCTGTCATGTCTCCTACGCGTTTTCGATCCTGAGCAAGTAACGTCGAGTATCGTAAAATGAGAGAGACACGAGCGGATCTTCTAAGTCGATCTCTCGTTTCAAGTAATTTCTGGCCGTTGTTCAGTAAATGCAAGAAGGTAAGTCAAAAGCGACTAACAATAAGTAAATCAGTTGAATACACCATTGTCGAATACGACCATTGAATTGTGATATATTATTCATATATGAAACATAATAAATTTTACTCGGTATTTGTCAAGCTGAAATATTTCAAAATTTTTAGAGTGCGTATTAACGTTTAATATATTAGATAGCCAATTGACATTGATTCGGGTTTTATAGAAATATGCCTTATGCAAAAACATGAATAGAATGTGATACGTGTTGATTATTATATATCTATGACATTCGAATATATTGATTAAACGAGAGATATATCACGCATCGACTTTTGGAAGTCCTAATCAGCTTTGCTCCATTTTGCGATACCCGTTAAGCGGGCTAGCATCGTCGTTGTAATGTGTCTGTACATCCGAATCGATTACAAGGGAGCGGAGCGTTCTGAAATCCGAAAGCAATAATCGAGCAGAACTATAAGTGCAACTATCGCGGATGAAACTAATCGGTTCGGCTGTTCTAATAAAACCGCGGTCGGCCGAGACTTCCATAAGTAAAAATCGCCATTGGCAAGGCCAGTGCAAAATTCGCGACGAGGAATTTTCGAGCGATTCGTAATGAGTGGCTCGAAAATCGGATCGTCCTTTTCAGGATCGTGTCGTCGAGTAACGGGTTCGACGATTTATTGTTCATCGTACTTTAAGCGAGAAGCCTACTCTATAATCTGATCGACGGAACGGCATGTACATTTTTTTTTTTATTTAATTAATATGTTGATCGGAGAGAACTCTTGTCACAGTGATAACAAGATCGCCTCCAAAAAAAAAAAGAATGGCGAGATAAATATTTTCCACAAATCTTTATTACTTTATTTACTTGTTACTGATTACACAGAACCCTTAATTCGTTTAACGCGTGTTGATTTTAATGAACATCCTGTTCAGATGTGTCTGGCGAACGTTGTACATATATTTACTTTACTCTAACCTATTTACACATATTCAGCGCTAAATATGGTTTCCCCCGATCCCGAATTTCACTTACACGAAAAACTCAACCGATGCAGATGCGAGATGGGAATTGTCCATATTTAGCGCTAAATGTACGGTAACGAAAACCAAGCCAATGTTTCGGTGCAGAAGTAGTAAACTGATCGATATGTACAGATAACGCAATTGAACAGGCAAGTGGATGAAGAAGGCTTGTCACATTTTTACGCACGTTAAGTTATTTGTACGGATAAATGTTATTCTCTATTGTATCATACGTATCAGTAACGTAAAGTGTATTATCAATTTAGTGCTGTGATGGTTCTTAGTGAAGTCTAGCCTGTCGATAAACGAAGAGTCCGTGTACAATATTAAGTCACATTTAATGCGATTGTATTAATTTAATTTAAAACGCTAAAACGCTGTAATCACGAGAGGTATCATTATGTCGAATATTTTCTTCGTCCATCTGCTCCTTCAATTTAATTCGATTCGATCGTGTACGATCGACAAGTCTGTTGACCGTTGTCGGAAAGGCCACAGTCAAAGACTTTTCGCCTGATCGAAATCGCGTCTCAGTTTCCTCGAAAATCTTCGGGAATTTGCTCAATCCCTCGCATAATTTTCGTGGCTTCCTTTGGGGTGTTTACGCACGGTCTTGCGCTCGAAGCGATGCGAGCATCTCATCGTCGACGAGAAAAATAGGAAAAGCAATAAAAAAAAATGACTTAAAAAGAGAAAGGAAAAAGGAACGAGCGGTCCACGAGGTTGGCCGTGCGCGCGTCAAAAGCGGATCATCTAACTTCTTAACACGAGAATCGTGATACTCCATGACTTGTATTGTATATTGTACACTCCTTAGATTCTTTGCCCTCCGCCCCGACTCCGTTCCCAATCTTCGCCCAATCATCTCAAAGTCCCTCCGCAAAATCCACGTGATTAAGAATTATATATATATACATATATATATATTAATTTAAAAATACAACACTGTGTATACTCTCTCATTTCTCACGCTCCGATTAATAAATAAACTTAATTGCACGATGAACTTATCGTCGCATAGTTATATCGCGTGCGCGAACGCGCACGCGCGGATATCTGCGCAAACTAGAGCCACAACGTTACTCCTCGCCGCACGTCGCGTCATTCGCGATTGGCAGTGCGCTTATCTCAACTTCCGTGCAATTTTCTCCTTTACACTCCGCACGAAACGTGAGTTGCGCGCGGCAGTTTCTATTGGATAAAAACGTGTCGTAATATAAATTTTTAATATCTTTGTATACACACACTGTCCGTTAATAACTTTGACACTAATTCTAACAATAGGGAAATATAAGTCGGGAACATTAGTCTCGCTTTACCTCGCCATTATGAGGAAATCGGTCACCGGTGGTTTTCGGCTATTTCGTGCGGTCGAGCGATGACGATTAGCATTAAACAGATGTTGTTTGCGTACGAATGTAACCAGTCGGCCGATACGCGTTTTATACGCGCTTTAACGAAGAAACTTTTGATTCCGCCGCCTCTTTAATGAAAGAAACCGTTTTCGTTTTTGCCGAGAAGATAAGCGCGCTTCGGTGGCGCAGGAATTTTAATCTTTCGGCCGATCGGTCGGACGATTGTAATAATTACGGTTTGCTCGTGTGAAGATACGGCGATGCGCTCTTTCTTGATCGCAAAATAAAGTAATGAAAATGTGAGGGGCAGCGAACGTTTTGAAATACGCGTATATAAGGAAGCACGTATAAATTTGATAAAAAACATTTTCGGTATATCTATTTGTCTCTGGATTGCTATAAATTCATATTTGAATTCGCGAGAATTTACAAAATTCACGTAACATTTTCATTTAGC